AAATTCTTTTATGTTGCAGTGGTTCTTTATTCTGTGCTTGTTTCTTCCCTTTCTTACCACTCTTCTCATTAACTCTAGAGTGATAGGTCAGCCTCCCTTACCACATCTTTAAAATTACATGCTGTTGACTTATCATCACCCTCATCTTCAAATTGCCTTTGCTCCACAATTGCATTCTGAATGTCAATAGGAGTCACATTGTGTGTAATGATATAATGAAGTATCTGATTAGGTGATTTCAAAGGTACATTGACTTGGATCAGCATTGGTTGCCTAGTACCTGAAGCACATGCCATAGGCATTGCTTCAATAGCTCCATAGTTTTTAAGGACTATAGCTTGCTCTGATACCAAGTTTGTCACGCCCCAACCTCGGGAGGCGCGACCGGTGCTCAATCGAGTGAACCCAACTGAACAAGCCTATTTAACACTTTCTACCCAACTCAATACGATTAAGAAAACTATGCTTTCGTTTATTTGAACAATAGCAAAAATCAAACATTCACATCGTTTATCCATTTTCATATCACAAACCTTAAACCATGGTTAAGTTTTCAGGTTTTCATACAGTTGCAGTTTAGAAGAACTAGAGTTTAGAATTACTATGCAGTACTTTAACCCATCCGACATCCGAACATAACCCACACAAATGTCTACGGAGCCTCTAAGGATACAAAAGACTATTATGACAACACCGGCAACAAGGCCCCGGCTATACCTCAAAAGTGGAAGTCTACAACAAAAGATGTACAATATAACCCCCTTGAAGGAGAAAGGGGCTCACCAAGACTTTGAAAGGAGGATAATCCGCTACGTGCGATCGGCACTGTCCGCTATGGAGCCACCTATATTCATTCAAAAATGTAGCGCCCCGGCAAAAGGGACGTTAGTACCATGGAATAGTACTAGTATGTATAACTAAACACCATCCTGTTAGAAAGAAGAACCATACAAGAGTAGAAAGAAATCATAAGGGCTACAAAGCTTCAAACAATCACCACGTTAGCAATATAAAAGGTTCACATAGTTTTCACATAGTTTTCGTAATTTTTGGTTGGGGCATTCCATTGTTGCATCATCATTCACAATACCACCGCTTTCTTGAGCGGAGTCCGATCACGGCCCGATCGGCTAAGCCGTCTTACCAAGATGTTACCCTTAATTCATTCTCACTTTCCAGTTTCAATTATCAATACAATACCACCATGTGTGTAGCATGGCGTCCGATCACGACCCGATCGGCTAAGCCGTCTTACCAAGACGTTACCCTTTTTCGTTAATCATCTCATTTCAATTTTTGGTTTCACATGTATTAGTTCATCGGCACTTAGGGCCACAATTACCACATCATACTTGGCACTAGGACACATTCCATAACTCACGTTTCACATTATTCCCATCTTCAACATTAACCTTGCCATTTAAGATCATAGGTACGTACAAAAGCAATTCAAGTCATAAGCATAGAGAGGAATTCATCCAGTTTGGCATATTAATCACAATGTAACCTCGACTTGAAATTTAGGCATTTAGCACATAGCTCATGTTCTCCACATATCCTCAATTTTACAAAGAATAGCACATTAAACACATGGGGAAGCACCTTCCACATACATTTTCACAACATCAATTCATTTGACATAACAAGTACTACATCAATCAAATTTCGGACTTACAACATTTGCACGGACACCATGGAAGCTCAATTTCTAAGAGGAGGGGGTTTTAGCCATACATACCTCAACAGAGCTTTCCTTAAATCCTTACAATAAATTCCGGAATTTCCTAGCAACCTCGATCTATTTTATGAAAATTGCAAGTTGAACCAAGAATTAGAGACATGATTAAGGTTCTAGCTTATTTGAGCATATTAGCAAGCACTAAGTGTGCATTGTGATTTTAGGACCCTTTTTGTGAGATTTTCATCATCTTACACCCCAATTGCTATCTTTTTAGTTCACAACCTCCCGTACCCTATTATCTTTTATGCATGGAAGAAAAATCCATTTTTATACCCATGAACCCACAAGCTAATTCCTCATTATAGTGTGAATTTCGAAACTAAAGGTTAGGGCTCAAGTTCTTACCTCTTGGGGTGAAGGCCTAGCAGCTTTACTTGAAATTCTTCAAGGGCTTAGGCAAGGATTGGGTGGGGGCTTGATGAAGATCACTCTCTCTCCCTCTAGAACTTCCTCTCTCACTCTATTTTCAGTAAAAATAGCATAAAAGGAGTCTAATGGGGTATTTTTAATGGGATGGGGTCGGGTTTTAAAAGTTAGAAAATAGGAGCCCCGACACAGTCTGCGATCGCACATGCGATCGCATAATGGACATGCGGCTCGCAAAAGGGACTGCAAAAATGGCTTCAAGAACCTGAACAAACTGCCCGGGTATGCGATAAGAATGCGGTCTACATACCTATTCTGCGGTCGCATAATGCACCGCAGAACTTCTCCTCGCAAAAATTCCAAAGGGATTATGCGATGACTATGCGGCCCGCATATTGATTATGCGATCGCATAATGGGCCGCATAGTTGACCTCAAATTAACCATCAAACTGTCTGACTCTGCGGCGACTATGCGGTCCGCATAGCTATTATGCGACCGCATAATGGACCGCATAAAAGCACTTTTCTGGAAAACATTATTCCTTAACTTTTTAATGCATAGATCAGTCCAAAGGGTCCGAACCGCGGCGAGCTTGCGAGCCGCGAAGAATTTTACAAATTTCTAACACATATATCTAACTTGGCACTACGAGCTTTCGGGTTTTGAGTAGGAATTTTCACGGCGCCTTACATCCTCCCCCACTTAGGATCATTCATCCTCGAATGAGGATCAAGGTTCACTCATTAGCAATCTTTATGCAACCCCAGCTTTTCACAACATGAAACGTATTAACAGCCCCAAATTTGGCTAACTCCCTAAATTTCCAAAATTTTTGCCAGAGTTTCCTTTATACCTAGGCCTATCCACATGTCAGAGAGCCCCAAAAACATATTCTAACAGTATATACATAATCCATAGACTTAACATAACCTGTACAATACTAACCATGGCCGCATGGGCAACATATAACCAAAACAAAACAGTACAGTTTTTATATAGACCAATTCAAAGGATACAGAATTCATAGGAACCAAATGCATAAAAGCTATTACATGGCTATACAAACAAATGTGGGTACTTCCTTCTCATTTCTTCCTCGGCTTCCCAAGTGGCTTCCTCAACCTGCTGGTTCCGCCACAACACTTTCACGGAGGCAATTTCCTTATTTCTCAATTTTCGGACTTGCCTGTCAAGAATGGCAACTGGAACTTCTTCATATGACAGTTCTTCATTAACCTCAATAGTTTCAACTGGCACAATAGTGGACGGATCTCCCACTACCTTCTTCAACATAGACATCATACAAGTGTATGGTTGTTCTTTCTAACAGGATGGTGTTTAGTTATACATACTAGTACTATCCAATGGTACTAACGTCCCTTTTGCCGGGGACGCTACATTTTTGAATGAATGTAGGTGGCTCCATAGCGGACAGTGCCAATCGCGCGTAGCGGAGTACCCTCCTCTCAAAGTCTTGGTGATCCCCTTTCTCCTTCAATGGGTTATATTGTATATCTTTTGTTGTAGACTTCCACTTTTGAGGTATAGTCGCGGCCTTGTTGCCGGCGTTGTCATAATGGTCTTTTGTATCCTTAGAGGCTCCGTGGACGTTTGTGTGGGTTATGTTCGAATGTCGGATGGGTTAAAGTACTGCATAGTAATTCTAAACTCTAGTTCTTCTAAACTGCAACTGTATGAAATCCTGAAAACTTAACCATGGTTTAAGGTTTGTGATATGAAAATGAATTAACAATGTTGAATGTACGATTTTCGCTATTGTCTAAATAAACAAAAGCATGGTTTTCTTAATCGTATTGAGTTGGGTAGAAAGTGTTAAAAAGGCTTGCTCAGTTGGGTTCACTCGATTGAGCACCGGTCACGCCTCCCGAGGTTGGGGCGTGCCAAACTTATTCATCACGTGCCCTCATTTTTGCCTCCTTCAACACTTCATAATTCTTCTCCATGACCCCTACATTCTCCTGCATCACCCTGAATTGAAGCTCATATACAGAACTCAAGTTAGGGTTTACTGTAGCTAGAAGTGTTGGAATTACTGTTCCATTGAGATCAGATGCCTTCCCATCAGCTGTCTCTTGTTCTGACCTCACTATATCATGTAGTACCTTATCATGAACATTCCCAACCTGAACACCACCTGAAACTTTCATCGGATCACCTTCAACAATAGCCAAAACCTTAATAGCTCCACTAGGGTTTACTATTGCATTGGCATGATTCTTAGCTGGAGCTTTAATAGCTGAATCTCTAGTTGTTCTAGCTTCCCTAGATGATCCTTTATCAAATTCAGCTGGTGGAATTGGTTGTTGCTTGTTTGAACTCAAGCTACCATCAACCCTAGTTTTTAGAACTCTAGGGTTTACTGTAGCACTAGAGTTACTTGTGTCTGCTATTTGCTACTGGCTCTTGTCCTTCGTTTCTTTGCCTCATGTAGTAATTGTTGTGTCTATGTGAGACTGCATAATATCAACTTCATCACTCCATAAATATTTCCCAGAATTAACTTCAATATTTGCCTCCTGCCCAGAATCCTCATAAGTTTGAGAAGGAATCTCATGACAAGAGTGGTTGACTGTGACATTGAGCTCCCTAAGTTCTTATTTCTAGTACCAAATCGCCTATACACCCATTCAATAGTACATTCCTTCCTAACAACCTCCTCAATCCCTATAGTAGTTGGATTAGGAGAACTAGCCTTACCCGCATTTTTACCCTCATTCTTTCCTGGACTAGTTATCCCAATTAGTGAAGGATTCAAGTTTTTCTCCTTATTAGTCTCATCCTTCTCCTTAATTTCAACATTCAAGACAACTTCTTTCTTAATACGTTTGACTTCCTCTTCTCCTTGTTTTAGACGAGTGGATGATAGATTGATGACTATTAAGTTGGTGGTTCAAGAGTACACCCTAAATTTCGTTAGCGCCTATGCGCCGCATGCGGGCCTAAATGTGGAGGTTAAATGGTGCTTCTGGGAGGGGTTAGATGAGATTGTGCGCCAGGTTCCACCTGTTGAGAAGCTATTCATAGGAGGGGATTTCAATGGTCATATTGGGTCGACCACTGGTGGTTATGGCGAAGTGCATGGAGGCTTTAGTTTTGGGGAGAGGAACGGAGGAGGTACCTCGCTGTTGGACTTTGCTAAGGCTTTTGGGTTGGTGATTGCGAACTCTAGCTTTTCGAAGAGGGAGGAACATTTGGTTACTTTTCAAAATGCTATGGCAAAGACTCAAATTGATTATCTTCTCCTCAGGAGGTATGACAAAGGGCTGTTGAAAGGATTGCAAGGTAATTCCGGGTGAGATACTTGTGATGCAGCATAGGCTCTTGGTGATGGACGTGGGTATTATGTTAAAGAGGAGGAAAAGGTCTGCTCGAGTTAGACTAAGAATCAGGTGGGGAGCCTTAACTAAGGATAGAGCCCAAGAGCTGGAGGGGCGGTTGTCGGCTATGAGAGCTTGGAGGAGCAGTGGTGACGCGAGCACTAGGTGGTCAGTGACAGCAGACTGTATAAGGGAGGCTGCGAGAGAGGTGTTAGGGGTCGCGACGAGCGTCTCTGGTGGGCACAAAGGAGATTGGTGGTGGAATGAAATGGTCCAAGGTAAAGTGGAAGCTAAGAAGGCGGCGTACCTGAAGTTAGTGGAGAGCATAGGTGAGGAGGAGAGGCGAGCGTGCATGGAGAGGTATAAGGTAGCCAGGAAGGAACCTAAGCTGGCAGTCACGGAGGCTAAGACAACAGCGTATGGTCGTATGTATGAGGAACTGGGGGGAAAAGGCGGGGAGAAGAAGTTATTTCGGCTGGCCAAGTTGAGAGAGAGGAAGGCTCAGGATTTGGACCAAGTGAGATGCATCAAGGACGAAGATGATAGAGTATTGATGGAAGATGCCCAGATTAAGAGGAGATGGCAGACTTACTTTCAGAAACTCCTAAACGAAAAAGTGGATCGGGATATTGCGCTAGGCAAATTGGAGCATTCCGAGAGTCACCGTGACTCTAGGTACTACAGGCGTATCAAGGTTGAGGAGATCGTGGGAGCTGCGTAAGATGAGTAGGGGAAGAGCGACCGGGCCAGACGAGATTCCAGTGGAATTTTGGAAGTATGTGGGGAGAGTTGGTTTGGAGTGGTTGACTGGGTTGTTTAATGTTATTTTTAAGGAGACGAAGATCCCAGATGAGTGGAGGTGGAGTACGGTAGTTCCATTGTATAAAAACAAAGGTGATATCCAGAGTTGTAACAATTATAGGGGTATCAAATTACTGAGTCATACCATGAAAGTGTGGGAGAGGTTGGTTGAAGCGAGGGTGAGGATGACAGTGTCTATATCCGATAACCAGTTCGGGTTCATGCCGGGTCGTTCAACTACGGAAGCTATACACCTTGTTAGGCGGTTGGTGGAACTGTACAGAGAGAGAAAGAAGGATCTGCACATGGTGTTTATTGACCTAGAGAAAGCATATGACAAGGTTCCTAGAGAAGTTCTCTGGAGATGCTTGGAGGCAAAAGGTGTGTCGGTTCCTTACATTATGGCTATTAAGGACATGTATGCTGGGGCAAAGACTCGAGTTAGGACAGTAGAAGGCGATTCTGATCATTTTCCAGTTGAAATGGGATTACACCAAGGTTCTGCCCTCAGTCCGTTTTTGTTCGCCCTGGTGATGGACGCGTTAACACACCATATTCAAAGGGAGGTGTCATGGTGCATGCTATTCACCAATGACATAGTTCTGATTGATGAGTCGCGAGCCGGTGTTAACGATAGGCTGGAGGTTTGGAGACAGGCTCTTGAGTCTAAGGGTTTCAAGCTGAGCAGGACGAAGACGGAATACTTGGAGTGTAAGTTCAGCACTGAGCCGAGGGAAGTGGACGTGGATGTGAGGCTTGAATCACAGGTCATCCCAAGTAGAGGCAGCTTCAAGTACCTTGGGTCGGTTATATAGGGGGAGGGGAGATCGATGAGGATGTTACACATCGTATTGGTGTAGGATGGATGAAGTGGAGGTTAGCATCTGGAGTCTTGTGTGATAAGAGAGTGCCACCGTTACTCAAAGATAAGTTCTATAAAGCGGTTGTTAGACTGGCCATGATGTATGGGGCTGAGTGTTGGCCTTTAAAGAACTCACATATCCAGAAGATGAAAGTAGCAGAAATGAGGATGCTGAGGTGGATGTGGGGCACACTAGGATGGATAAGATTAGGAATGATGATATCCGGGAGAAGGTGCATGTGGCTCCCATTGATGACAAGATGCGGGAAGCGAGACTCAAATGGTTCGGGCATGTTCAGAGGAGAAGCTCAGATGCGCCGGTAAGGAGATGTGAGCAGCTGGTTGTGGAGGGCACGAGAAGAGGTAGAGGGCGGCCTAAGAAGTATTGGGGAGAGGTGATCAGGCAAAATATGGCAAGGCTTTAGATTTCCGAGGACATGACACTAGTGTTGATACCCAATTTTTCCCTATATTTTTTATATACGCACAAATACCTTCAAAATAGCATATATATGCATATATAAGCATGCACGAGGTCTTTATTATTTTTTCCATAATTTTAAGGGTTTAAATTGATTTATTTTCCCCCTTTTTATCCATAAAACCCCCAATAAATATTCTCCAAATTATTGTGATGATGATTTAGTCATTTAATTTCTATACTTATGTCAAAATATGGCTAATATATTTTTCATGCATTTTTATAATTACATTTAGTATTTTTAAGCTAAATTGCATATAATTGCAATGTTAGCCCTTTTAATGTATAATTATATCTTATATGCACAAAATTGGTCCCTATATTTTTAAAATGTTAATTATGTATTTTAAATCATTTTGGCACCTTAAATTATTTTCTAGAAATTACTTATTATTTATTAAAGTTAAAAATAAGGAAAAACTGCTATTTAAATTATAGCCAAATTTGGCTTTCAATTGTAGCCAAAATCGGACCAATACCCGACCCAACCTTCTAATTAAATAACCCAACCCAAGACCCTATTAACCCTTACCCAGACCCAGAACCCACCTACCCGGTTGAATCCTGACCGTTGATCTCCCAGATCAACGGTCCAAACAAGCCCCTTCCTTTTTTAATCCTAAAGACCCCCTAACCCTAATCACTCTTCTAATTCCGCTGCCCTCAAACTCTCTCATATCCAGTCTTCTCTCTCAACCTAACCCTAGACTCTGTCAAACGCCTCCTTCTCCGGTCATCTCCGGCGACCTCCTTTCAACCCCAAGCCTCCAATGGGTCTCTCATCGCCTTGCTCATCATCTCTAAGGCCCTCAAGGGTCCTAGGCCATGTCGATTTGGACCTAGGGTTTCTGTTTCTGTTGTTCGAGGCTTCTCTGGTGTGACTTTGGGCATAATCATACAATACTTGTTACGATCTTTGAAGTTTATAGCAGGTTCTTCCGTTTCTATCTGGGTTTCCTTTGAAACCCTAACTTTGTTTGAATATCTTAGATCTGTGCTATTTTTAACGATTTAAGTCTATTTCTTTCTATGTTTTACACTGTTCTCAAACCTCTCTTTAAAAATCATCAACTTTAAGCCGTTTTACTCTCTTTAATTTTAGTGTTTCTCGGAGTTTCTTCTACACTTGTTTAAACTAATTTTTCTTTATGTTTAAACCTCTTTCCTTGCTTATCTGGACTGATTCTATGTTCTTACTGCTCTTTAACTCGCCTATGTTAAAAAGCCCTAATTTTTAAGGTCTTNCATAATTAATCTCAGATCTAGATATGCAGGGTAGAGAAAAAATGAAGAGGAAGAATAATCGCGGATAATATTTCTTCATACAATAATTATACATCAATCATATGTAATAAGCTTACATCTATGACCGATTTGTATCATGAACATGGAAGAAACATAAAAGAAGCGAAGGAGCCGTTCTTCCTTAAGAGATTCTCTTGATTCTGGCTTCTCTCGCAGCTCTCCCCCTTTTTTGGGTTTAGCTACCCCTATTTATATTAACAGCTTCCATATTTGTCCAATGGTCTTTGACCAGCGTACTTTCTCGTTACCACAGCCTCTTTCATTTGCTTGACCGCTACATCGGTTCCGCGACGTAGGATTTCTTACGGTCTGGCCCCGACAATGGCCGAGGTGCCCTTTGCCATCTTGCCTTGTGGGCATGAATACGACTTGGTCGACCCCATATCGTTCCTCTTAGGGATGATTAACCCATTGTTGATACCCAATTTTTTCCTATATATTTTAAATATGCATAAATACCTTCAAAATAGCATATATATGCATATATAAGCATGCACGAGGTCTTTATTATTTTTCCCATAATTTTAAGGGTTTAAATTGATTTATTTTCCCCCTTTTTATCCATAAAACCCCAATAAATATTTTCCAAATTATTGTGATGATGATTTACTCATTTAATTTCTATACTTATGTCAAAATATGGCTAATATATTTTTCATGCATTTTTATAATTACATTTAGTATTTTTAAGCTAAATTGCATATAATTGCAATGTTAGCCCTTTTAATGTATAATTATATCTTATATGCACAAAATTGGTCCCTATATTTTTAAAATGTTAATTATGTATTTTAAATCATTTTGGCACCTTAAATTATTTTCTAGAAATTACTTATTATTTATTAAAGTTAAAAATAAGGAAAAACTGCTATTTAAATTATAGCCAAATTTGGCTTTCAATTGTAGCCAAAATCGGACCAATACCCGACCCAACCTTCTAATTAAATAACCCAACCCAAGACCCTATTAACCCTTACCCAGACCCAGAACCCACCTACCCGGTTGAATCCTGACCGTTGATCTCCCAGATCAACGGTCCAAACAAGCCCCTTCCTTTTTTAATCCTAAAGACCCCCTAACCCTAATCACTCTTCTAATTCCGCTGCCCTCAAACTCTCTCATCTCCAGTCTTCTCTCTCAACCTAACCATAGACTTTGTCAAACGCCTCCTTCTCCGGTCATCTCCGGCGACCTCCTTTCAACCCCAAGCCTCCAATGGGTCTCTCATCACCTTGCTCATCATATCTAAGGCCCTCAAGGGTCCTAGGCCATGTCGAATTGGACCTAGGGTTTCTGTTTCTGTTGTTCGAGGCTTCTCTGGTGTGACTTTGGAAAAAATCACACCATACTTGTTACGATCTTTGAAGTTTATAGCAGGTTCTTCCGTTTCTATCTGGGTTTCCTTTGAAACCCTAACTTTGTTTGAATATCTTAGATCTGTGCTATTTTTAACGATTTAAGTCTGTTTCTTTCTATGTTTTACACTGTTCTCAAACCTCCCTTTAAAAATCATCAACTTTAAGCCGTTTT